ACTGTACTTATTTTGATGTAATGTGGTGTGCTTCTTACCTCTATAAAACGAAAGGAGACTGCGACCACACAAAGGTCCACACCATCTTGGTCTTCATACCTTTAATGGTAGACATTCGTCACGTGACCGCTTTTTCATAATAAACATATAAGCAGATGAAGCCAACCTAAATCGCACCCGAATTCCTTCAGTTTACTGCATTCATACTTTTTAAGATAGTTATTGTTTCGATTTAATTAAAATTGCAAAAGAAAATAATGAAAAATTCCTTCTGATTCAGTTGCCCAAAATTGAGCTCTACAACAATAGCGAGATCCCATGTTGTACGGTATTACGAACGGAATACAATAGAGACTGAGTGTAAATTATCACTAACTAGTCAGTCTAAGATAAATGCAAATATAATTGAGTATTTTTATATGATTTATATCTTGAAAGGTGATCTTTTTGAGGAGCATGGATACTTTGCATACTAAAGGTTATTACTTTTCACCAAGTATTGTGAAAATTATTAGAAAACCTGTATTATGGCGCAGAAGGCCAATTCTACAAGTTTTCTAAGTCTTTGAGAAAAAAACTTATTTTAGGCCTTATGACAAAATAGCCTCTGTAGTATGCTAAACATTTAACAAATTGAAGCAAGGGAACCCAATAAATGAATGCGTAATATTCGTTAATTATTTATCTCGATATTCTCCTAATGAAAGAGTAACAAGGCTTCATTTCCTCTGAAACACTTATGCAGATTTATGTGGTTCGTAAAATTTTCATTTACAGAGCTTTCGAAAGGTTGACTGTCGCCGAAGTTGACAAACTTCGTCAAGTTTCTTATGGACTGACCGCGACTCTACATACGAAGAAATGAACCAAGATCTTGGTTTCAACACTTAATTTCTCTATTCAATGCCCCAAAAAACAGCTTTCCTCCATGTTTGTCTGCGGATCGGACCTTGCCTAAGTCTCATTAGCTGAGGCGGAGAAGAGATCGAATCTGTAGTCGAACCTAGAAGAGAACAATCTTTTGGGAGGGATAAAGCCGATGAGGTCAGTTCAAAATCAGGTATTTTCTTCAGTTAATCGTAGGAAGAATTGCTATGAATCCTAATAAACAACAGTAAAAACTTATATAACTGGTTAATTTTCGCTAAATTTCTCTTCATAATGTGGCAATATACAAGGAACGGCGTTTTATTTACCTAGATGCTGATTTTGGCTCTGTAAAATGATGAAATGAATCTGAGTTATTATTGAAGTACTAAACAGCAAAAGCTATATATTGACAAGACATCGTGGACTCGTAAGCGGTTGAATATCTGTTCGTTCTATCTGTATTATACCTTGTGACCTTAAGCTTGCATGATATTCTCATTAGTAATGTTTACGTTTGCTCTTCTGTCAATTATCCTCATCGAGCCATTATGGAACAATGAAAAAAACAGCGACAATTTCTCATCAATAAAATACAATGTATTAAATTAACGAACTCATAGAGGCAAGAGATAAATGCCTGCAGTTTGTACTTTATGGCTTACCCTAATGACAATCTACACTTTGGCCTACCTTTATTAATGAACTCTGTGAAGCCAATATGTGCAACAAAAACAAATGAGCTATACAGAAGGCAGAGTAAATATGTAAATAGTTAAAATATGCTTCTAAGAGCAAGATCGAGAATCATAGATCCTGACTTATAACGATAGCAGCAACAAAAACAATGACAAAATCGATAGAGTGGAGTGAAAGAAAGTTAGGAAAAATACAAAGAGCTGGATCTTTTAATTAAGATTGGGACTATACGTTAAGTAATTAGCCAAAGCTGATTTAAAAAGAGAAAGGGATAATTTCAACTAGAACAAACTAGGTTCTTGTGAAAAGCGTCGCCAAAATATCACGGATAAAAAAGGAACTCATACAGTGAACAAAAATGGTTAAGGAATTAAATGTTATTATAGGACAAACCAATTGTTTATAATCTTTAGTGCCAAGGTAATGAAGATGCCAATAGAGCGTAAAAAGAGGAAAGCGTTAAAAGGAAACGAACGAAGGGCTTTTAAAACGTTGACAGAAGTCAACTTTATGCTAACTGAAAAAGTGGAAGAAACGCTGTTTAATTTCCTTGCTGGCTAATACCTACTAAAAATATATATTCAGTGACAAAATAAAGAACTTATCAAACTAGAGCAATCAATCTGGTTCTGGGATGATTACTTTCTAATCAAGAGACGTAGACAGGAGGAAACACAAGAGTTTATACGAGATTTAATCAAGTTTGGAAATGAAAGTTCAATCATACAGAAAAGCTTTAAAATTGTATCGATTCTGAGAGTTGAAGTGACTTGGTTTGATTTATACATACAAAAAAGACTGATTTGAAACTTAAACCATCCCGTGCAGTACATCAACGTAAATCGAATATCTAGTCCTAGAGAGAACATCGACTAGAAGCCCAAGATCAATGAGAAATGAAATATAAAATACGTTTAGAAACTACCGATAGTTTACTACTACTAGTAGACCTAAATAAGTTACACATTAGCAGAATAAAGCGTTGCTTTCTTTGAAATTCAGGTCTACTCCGTTACCCACTAATATCAATTGCAGTGGCGTAGTGGCAACATGTAGTACGCTGCACTATCCGGGTTTGACTCCCGTTTGGGGCTTGATGAGCACCAGGCGAAGGCGAAACTAGTCCATTCCAGTATTGGGAAGAATAACTTTTAGAAGGCAAGGTTGAGTCAAAGTCAATGGTAGCTTGAGGCCTACTCATATCATTTTGAGGAGATTAAACTATCAGTCTTTCATCTCCTTATGTGACCTATGAGGAATGCAGTCAATATACAAATAAAACAGACTGAATGTTTATGGGAGAGGAGAAAATTAATAACACGTAAAGTAATAACAAGATATTCAATCAATGGGATACAATGTAATAAAAGGTACTAAAGAGCCGGTAAAGAGCGAATATATGCCAAATATCCTGAAAGAAAAATTAAGCAAATAAGCTGGGACTATTTGACTAGCAAGTAAAGAAGCGCAAATTAGACATGATTCATATAAAATATTTAGGCATAACTACCCTGTGTGCAAAGATTAAAGATCGGTGACAAAATTTTGATGCATGAGGAGCATCAATATAGAGTATTAGGAGAAAGAAAAGGGTAATGAACTATACAGAAGGATTCATAAATGCAATAATTCAGGCGTATAAAAATGATATATGCAGAAATGCAGAATTTCGGAGAGGCTCTCAATGATTTCATACGACTCAAACTTTAATTTCAAATAGTCAGGGCTTTCTGACCTAGATGATAGGAGGAACGCACACACACACACAATAGACGTACTTCAGCACAAACGTGCGCCAGCATTTCAGGACCAGACGCTAGTTTA